GGGGGAGGGAAATGGGAAACAGGGAGGAGGCGGAAATTTTTCGAAAAAAAAAACATTGAAAAAAATAAATTAGGGGCTGGAGAGATGGCTCAGTGGTTAAGAGCACTGCCTGCTCTTCCAGAGGTCTTGAGTTCAATTCCCAGCAACCACATGGTGGCTCACAACCATCTGTAATGAGATCTGGCATCCTCCTCTGGCCTGTGGGTATACATGGAGGCAGAAAGTTGTATACATAATAAATAAATCTTAAAAAAAATAATTAATTAAAAAATAAAAATATAAAATAAAAAAAAAACTAGGAAGGAAGGGAAGAAAGAAACGTGCATATGTGTGAGTTACCACTGACTTTTCTACCATACTCAAGTAAAACTTTGGGATGACCCCCCATTCTTGTGCCCCTTGCCTTGGGAAATCTCCTCTGCTCTGTTACAGACGATACGTGACCAAACCCACCTCAGATGAGGATGAAGAAAAAGGTGAGAGGGGAGAGAGGCCCAATAAGAGTGTGGGGGGAAGAGGGAGAGGGGGAGGGGAGTGGGAGGAGGGGACGATGTGTGCGAGGAGGGGGAGGGAAATGGGAATTTTTTTTTTGCAACAACTAAAAATAAAATTAAAAAAAAGAGTGTGTGTATCTTACTTAGTATGGGTAAAGGGTTGAGAAGTATAAAGTTTAAACTATATTTTTCTCTCTTCATTTGAGATATATGTAAATCTTTTTTGCTGGGACTTGACCTCAGGACCTGATGTCTTTCTCATTTTAGGGGATGACGATGAGGATGATGGCCATGAAGATAGCAGCAGTGATGAAGAAAAAGAGGAAATGCCTGACCCTTCCACTAACAATAGTGTCCAGGAAACAGAGCAGGAGCAGGCTGGGCCCAGCTCTGGGGTCCCTAAGAAATGCCCCTTCCTCTTGGACAACAACAGCCTGAACCCCTCTCAGTGGCCCCCGAAGCGGCGGCGCAAGCACCTGTTCACCCTGCAGACGGTGAACTCCAACGGGACCAGTGACCGGACCACCTCCCCCGAGGAAGTGAAAAGTACGTCATCTGGGTAGGGTTGCAGATAGCAGAAGGAATCTACTAGCAGGGGGCTCAGTGGTTAAGAGCATTGCCTGCTCTTCTAAAGGTCCCGAGTTTGAGTCCCGGCAACCACATGGTGGCTCACAACCATCTGGAATGAGGTCTGGTGTCCTCTTCTGGCCTGCAGGCATACAGACAGACAGAATATTGTATACATAATAAATAAATAAATAAATATAAAAATAAATATAACAGAGAATTAGAATATTGTATACATAATAAATAAATTATTATAAAAATTAAGAGAAAATTAGAATATTGTATACATAATAAATAAATAAAAGAATGTACTAGCGACAGGAGCCTAACCGTCTTCTCTGCACCCCTAGCCCAGCCCTACATTGCCATGGATTGGGAACCGGAGATGAAAAGGCGTTACTATGATGAAGTGGAAGCCGAGGTAAACGGAAATGGGACCCTGGAGATGGGAGACGCTTGCAGCTCAACGTGAACCCTTTATCCACCCTCCCCCTAACCTCAGTAGGAATCGAACCAAGATACTTGGGTCCAGGACTGGCCTGGGGTTAGACCCTGCACACTTCTGGGAGGGCCGTGATTCATGGTCTATTTTTCTTCTATTTTTCTTTAACTCTCCTCCCCAGGGCTACGTGAAACACGACTGTGTGGGATACATGCTGAAGAAAAGTCCCGTACAGCTGCAGGAGTGTATCGAACTGTTTACCACCGTGGAAACCCTCGAGAAGGATAACCCGTGGTAAGGAAGGGCCTGGCATGGTCAGAAGAGAGTCCGTGAGGGGTACGAACTTACAGACAAGAACAAGGGAGAGTGCCAGGCACACAGAAAGTCAGAGAACCTTTACAAGATA